ATGGATCCTGTACTGTCCTGTAGATGGACCCTGTACTGTCCTGCAGGTGATTATACACATGGACCTGACCAGATGAAATACACAGAAACCAACTTGACCTCATCTGTGTGAAAAGAAAACAAGGCCAGGTACAGACTGTGGAACAGACCATCAATTGTTCTTATTCAAGTTCAGGTTGAAGCTGAAGAAAATGAAAGTCCACAAGAACCAAAATATGACCTTGAAACTATCCCACCTGAATTTAGAGATTATCTGAAGAACAGATTGGATGCATTAGACACTAAAGACCGAAGACCAGATGAGTGGTGGAAAGACAACAGAAACGTCATACAGGAAGAAAGCAGAAGGTTATTAAAGAGACAGGAAAAAACTAATGTCAGATGAGACTCTGAAATTTATGCTCCAGCACAGAGAAGCTAAAGCAAATGGGAGAAATGAGGCAGTAAAAGACCGGAACAGAAAATTTCAAAGGGCAGCTTGAGAAAATCAAAGTATTATAATTAAACATACAAAGACCTGGAGTTAAAAAACCAAAAAGGAAGAACATGCTCAGCATTTCTCAAGCTGAAAGAACTGAAAACAAAACAAAACAAAAATCAAACCTCAGCTTGCAATATTGAAAGATTCTACGGGGTTCCTGGTGTGCCCTGTAGGATAAGTACTGAACTGCTAACCACAGTCAGTAGTTCAGACCCAGTAGCTAGCTATTCCTTGAAAACAGGGTTTTGAGTCAGAATGACAAATGGCACCTAACAAGAACAATACAATGAGCAAAATATTGAGTGATGCCCAAAGCATCAACAGAAGATGAAGGAATGCACAGTCACTGCAATTGGTCAGTTACCAATCCATTTCAAGAGGTAGTGTATGCTTAAGAACCAATGATATTGAAGGAAGAAGCCCACAGTGCACCGAAGGCATTGGCTAAAAAACAAGGTTCCAGGAATTGATGGAATACAAAATGAAGTCTTTCAACAAACTGATGCACCACTAAAGGTGTTCACTCATCTGTGCCAAGAAATTTGGAAAACAGCTACCTGGCCAACCAATTAGAAGAGATTCAAACCAAAAACAGATGACTCACAAACAACTTGTGATGAACAACCTTACTCTGTGAAAACGAAGACGAGTTAAAATACTTACTGATGAAGATGGAAAACCACAGCCTTCAGTATGGATTGCACCTCAATGTAAAGAAAACAAAAATACTCACAACTGGGCTAATAAATATCATGATAAAACAGAGAAAAGATTGAAGCTATCAAATAATTCATTTTGCGGGACTTCCGGCGCTTCCCTGACCGGGCAGCACAGATGCGCGGGATCTGGGGAAGGGTGGGTGGTATCGCACAGAGGAGGCCCCTGCTGGGTAGACGAACAGCCTTTGGGCAAACGTAAGACTTTAGCCTCCAACATTGTGGACTTGCTTTTTTGAAGGGTCGAGCTGCTGGGGAGTTGTGGGCATTTTGGGCCTGCGCTCAGCTCCTGCTCCAGGACTGCGCCCGCCCCCTGAGGAGCTTGGAGCGTGGGGCTTGAGCGGACCCGTTCGGAGGGC